AAAATACATTTTCTGGCTTTTCTCAGTCTAGAAAGCTACAAATTCTAAAATAATTTCACATTTCTTCTACATCAATGACCCGTTTTAAATACACATTCATCTTTCCAGAGGTGAAGTATCCCTTTAATGATCCCAATCCCATTAGGTAATAATTGATTACCTAATAAGGAACTATTTGATCCCCTTTTGCCTTCAGAACTGCCTTAACTCTACGTGGCGTTGATTCAACAAGGTGCTGAAAGCATTCTTTAGAAATGTTGGCCCATATTGATAGGATAGCATCTTGCAGTTGATGGAGATTTGTGGGATGCACATCCAGGGCACGAAGCTCCCGTTCCACCACATCCCGAAGATGCTCAATTGGGTTGAGATCTGGTGACTGTGGCGGCCATTTTACTACAGTCAACTCATTGTCATGTTCAAGAAACCAATTTGAAATGATTCCAGCTTTGTGACATGGTGCATTATCCTGCTGGAAGTAGCCATCAGAGGACGGGGACATGGTGGCCATAAAGGGATGGACATGGTCAGAAACAATGCTCAGGTAGGCCGTGGCATTTAAACGATGCCCAATTGGCACTAAGGGGCCTAAAGTGTGCCAAGAAAACATCCCCCACACCATTACACCACCACCAGCAGCCTGCACAGTGGGAACAAGGCATGATGATCCATGTTCTCATTCTGTTTACGCCAAATTCTGACTCTTCAAAAACAGAAATCGAGACTCATCAGACCAGGCGACATTTTTCCAGTCTTCAACTGTCCAGTTTTGGTGAGCTCTTGCAAATTGTGGCCTCTTTTTCCTATTTGTAGTGGAGATGAGTGGTACCCGGTGGGGTCTTCTGCTGTTGTAGCCCATCCGCCTCAAGGTTGTGTGTGTTGTGTCTTCACTGCATACCTCGGTTGTAACGAGTGGTTATTTCAGTCAAAGTTGCTCTTCTATCAGCTTGAATCAGTCGGCCCATTCTCCTCTGACCTCTCGCATCAACAAGGCATTTTGGCCCACAGGACTGACCCATACTGGATGTTCATTCTTTGTAAACCCTAGAAATGGTTGTGTGTGAAAATCCCAGTAACTGAGCAGATTGTGAAATACTCAGACCATGCCACGCTCAAAATTGCTTAAATCACCTTTCGTTCCCATTCTGACATTCAGATTGGAGTTCAGGAGATTGTCTTGACCAGGACCACACCCCTAAATGCATTGAAGACACTGCCATGTGATTGGTTGAGTAGATAATTGAACTAATGAGAAATTGAACAGGTGTTCCTAATAATCTTTTAGGTGAGTGTGTATTAGTTAGTAGTTGCTGAAATGTTAATATAGTACGACTCATCATTCTTTTATTACTCCCTGCATAGTTACTTATTAATAAAGTGTTATCAATGAAATTTAAAGTCATACTAGAAGTCTAATACATTTTAATACCAAACTCTTACATAACTTTGCACACATAGCAGTGCACTTTCCACCAAGACAAATATTTCAAGACATAAATATTTCACGATGAACAGAATCACAGTTGAACCCTTGTGCAACACAACTGATATCACGACTCTCACACAGCTCAACATTGTGCCATAATCTCCATGATATGTTCATTGCAAAATCTCATTACTTTCGATATCGGGGTGAAATATGGCCATTGGCAGTTTTTATGACCCCTTTTTTTTATAAGGTGCTTCAATGAATGTGGCAACCTCAATTGCCCTTTAGGGCCATAGAAACGCATATAAACACTCCACAAACATTGAAATAATCACATTTTAGTCAGACGAGTAAGATTGTGTTCCGTCATACACACTATTGAAGGAATGCTTGCTGGAACAAGCCGATGCAGCTCAGGTGACGTATATTACAGTGTGGGCTGCTGGCATTAAGATTTTCCCTTTCGTATAGTATTACCCGAGTGTGATGCAGTTACCTCCAGGGACAGAAACCTGTTGTGAATGTGTAAATGTGTCTAATGTGGCCTGTAAGACTGCACCTGCTTCTGAGATCCTCAAGCCACAGCGGAACAATGCTGCCAAATGATATGCCTCGTACTTCTGGAAAAGCCCTCTGGTGTGTTTGTGACACAAGACTTACCTGTGTGTGTGTACTGTATGTTTTTCTATCCCGGTGAGGACTTAAACCTCATGGAGACTTGTGTCACTGTGGACCTAAATTGAGGAACACATGCGTATATAAATCATACGGAATGAGTGTTTTTTTATATTGAAAATCGTCAAAATGCAGAAAGTTTTCTGTGATGGGTAGATTAGAGGTCAGGTTAGTGCGTTTGTGTCTGTGTTGGGTAGGTTTAGGGGTCGGGTTAGTGTGTACTGTAAAAAACAATTAGTTCAATTTACTTAATTTTATTATGCAAACTCATTGCCTTAATTTCATTAAGTAAGCATAACTTAATCACATCAAATCCATTTTTGTCAACTTAATTCTGTCTGTGATCTGAGGAAGTGTACTGCCAGAGTGCATTGTGGCATGAATAAATTAATTGTTTTGTTTTACTATTTTTGGCTTTATTTTACCATTACAATTTTATTTGCTATCGTTATTGGGGTTATACTTACAAGAGACCACAACATATATTTTTTATATATATATTTATTGCTTCGCTTCCTTTGAAATCAAATAATTGTGATTTAAAGGGTTAGTTCACCCAAAAATGAAAATTCTGTCAGTATTTACTCACCCTCATGTTGTTCAACCCCGTAAGACCTTCGTTCATCTTCGCAACACAAATTAAGGTATTTAAGATATTAAGATCGCTCCTGTATACTAGTCCATAGGCTTCTTGAGGGAATGACTCTTGCTGGCCACGAAAAGTCATTAAAGACATCGTTAAAATAGTCCAAGTGACTACAGTGGCTCAATCTTAACTTTATCAAACGACGAGAACACTTTTTGTGCGCAAAAACAAACAAAAATAACGACTTTATTTCAACTATTCACTTCCTTCTCCATGAGCCTGTAGTCAGTTAACGTAGTGTGATTGCGTAGAGCTACGTCACACGTAGGCTCACTATTGGCCGACGCTGGTCATGTGTGTGATGTACAATAACAGAAGCTTACGCTATTAAACTTGTAACCTGACTCGCGCAGAGGGAGAAATAAACGAATAGTTGAAATAAAGTCGTTATTTTTGTTGCACAAAACGTATTCTCGTCGTTTGATAAACTTAAGATTGAGCCACTGTAGTCACTTGGACTATTTTAACGATGTCTTTAATGACTTTTCGAGTCATTCCCTCAAGAAGCCTATGGACTAGTATGCAGGAGCGATCTTAATATCTTAAATATCTTAATTTGTGTTGTGAAGATGAACGAAGGTCTTACGGGGTTGGAACAACATGAGGGTGAGTAAATACTGTCAGAATTTTCATTTTTTGGGTGAACGAACCCTTTAATGTTACATCACTGCAATCAATTGGAAGAGAATTACAAAAAATGTAAATTAAGTTCCAAGTGCCCAACCAAAGGGAACATCATTCACAAAAATGGTGAGAAAAGAACAAGTCAACTAAAGAATGTTGATGCTCTCCCAAAATGTGTAAATTAACAATAATATTCATGATGACTATTTCAAGAGGAATAAGAAGAATAATTAGAAAGTAATTAGTGAAAAGTCTATTAATAATTGCCCTGCCTCATAAACCATTTGCCCCGCCAGTGGCAATGTGTGGGGATGGGGCAAAATGGTACTCAAACCAGTCAAGTAATGTTTACAAGATTTTTCTGAGTAACGAAGGCATGGCATGCAAACACTTCAGATTACTGCGAAATTTTAAGTACATTCAACAAATTGGACATTAAGTAAAGTTAACAAAAAAATTCTTAGTAAAAACAGTGTTAGATTTTACAAGGGGTCGGTTTAGTGTGTGTGTGTGTGTGATAGGTAGGTTTAGGGCTGGGGCAGAATAAACAGTTTACAGTATAAACACCATTACATCTGGAGAGTCCCCACAAAGATAGCGAACCAGACTGTGTGTGTGTGTGTGTGTGTGTGTGTGAAAGAATGCTTTTCCTTGGCAAGAGGAGATAATAATAGGGTTTTTCCCAATTATGTGGATACCGGTCTGGCATGTCTCAAAGACAGCTGATGTTTGCTGCCGAATTTAAGGTTTTTACAGCGCCTGGTCACATGTCCCACCAGTTCATTACGCTGATTTGTGTTTCCCAAGCCTTACATGCACTAATACACATTTTTTGTTGTTGTTTTAAACAGGTTAAAACATGTTATGGTCTCTGTACTCCCTGCATTGTTTGTGTTCTGGTCTTTTCTCTGGTGTCATGTGTGATTGTTACAGCAATTGCTTTTTGTGTCTCACATCCAGAAAAAAACATGAAAACCATTCAGTTTCTTCAGAAATGAAGCGCAATTCTCAATCCTACCAGTGAATCATCACAATGATGATGAAATGTTCAGTTACAAAAGATGTATGGAGATTAACCGACAGAACCGCCCACGTGAAACCTCCCTGAGTTTTTCTACATAAAGAACTGAAGTCAAGATGCGTTCATTTATGGCAAGCACACACGTCCCAGAATATTTTTGACAGCCTCCTTGATCTTTTACAAAAGTCCACAATTCACAGAACATAAACGGCGTCAGCATTTCAAAACATGCTTTAAAAAAATGATTTGATTCAGTCAAAAGTTTTCCTCTCAGCAAGACGCCAGCTTTAGCTTCCTATGCCCACTGTGAACAGGAAAGAAGTCATAGAAACATTGTACATGTCACAATTACAAAACATCTCACTTTGTCAGTGAGAAGAAGATAGAATCTGTCAGAAATAGAAACTGTCAGCCTTATCTGAGTGAACTATGAACCGAAAGGATCGAGACACTAGACGTGAGATAGAGGGGAAGAGGTGTGTCTTCGGTGTGTCGGACAGGTTTACTGCCTCTGGCCAGTGAGACGCTCTTATTATTTGCATGTGAAAACTTGAGTCCCCACCCTTCACCAGGTTCTCAGCACTTCTCATGTTAAAACACATTCAGGTTTTTTTTTTTTTTTTTTTTTTTCTAATTCTTCGGCTTGTGTCATACCTCATCTGCACTGGAACGACACAGGATAGGAATGCTAAGAGACCCTGCATGATGATTTCCTCTTGAGTAAGTAACTTTTTAACAAACGGCATTGGCTTGAATGTCAGATTTCATGAAGTAGATGTTGAATATAGTTTGCAGACTGGTTACTTTGCAATTTATCTGCTTGTTTTGTTTTTGCATATTGAAAGAAACGTTTCGGTAGCCAAGCACAACGCATGCTATTGCAGAGTGAAAAGGTATAGCATTGACTAAGGGTTCTCACAGACAAACAATGTTTTCTAAACATGGATTTTAGGTCTAGCTTTATCTTGGAATGCACTGATGTTTTTTTTTTTATTGCAAACTTTAACAAACATAAGAACAAAACTAGATATAGTTTAATAGTCAGCAAGAAAAATAATGTAATTGACCTATTGAAAATGATTTGCCAAGAAAAAGGGCCTATTATGAAGCGCTGATGTCTTTGAAAAGTTGGCTCAAATCTCTCAAAATTGTGTTTAGTGAAATTGTGCTTTTGCAAGTGAATGACTTTTTAATGATCTTTTGAATATAAATGTTGCGTATAAAATTGTGAGATTGCAAATGAACGCAATCATGTATACTTGACATAGGACTTCATTGCGTCTGTTGTCGAACTTTACTGTCCCTATTGCACACAGATCAGTTCAGTTTCTAGACTAATTATTGTAGAACTGTATATTTCCATAGAGAAAAGAGTCGCAACCCTTGGGGCGATAGTAACGGCCAATATAATGACTCTCTCCCACACAACTCTCATAAACTGCAAATTTAATTTTCATAAAAATGTGCCTGTAATCTTTCAAAATGTGGAATTAAACTAACTTTTTATATAAGTTATATATATACAGTATAAGTATCATACACCAGTGAAGATAATATCATTGCTGTAAAAAGTTTTTCACAAAGAAACGTGTTAAACTCCCAGCATTTAGGTTTGGCTGACTAAACCTGTAGTCAGCATTAATCTAAACAGGTGGGGCTGAGATCACTCCAGCGCTGAGCACCATCCCAATGAGATCGCCTGTGGACATCTCAGCACCTGCTCGTCAGGTCCAGTCAAGTGGAATAAATGAATTATGCTTGATGAGATGAATATGAAACATGAGTAACTCTGACGTATTCTGGGAAATAACATTTAATGGCATTAAGGTTTTCTATTGTATGTATTTCTGAATGCATGTTACAGTTTTGTTCACCTGTCCCTAATTGGTACACTCATTCTTATAAATAAAGGTTCTTTATTGGCATCAAGAACCTTTAACATTCACTGAAACTTTCCATTGCGCAAAAGCTTATTTATAGGGAAAACAAGAAAAGAAACTGAAAATGAAACACAAAAACACCAATACAACGTGACAGACAGTTTCCAAAATTAATGATCTGGTTGTTTCTGAAGAACTCTTAATCCCTAATAGTTTTTTTTTCTTCTTTTTTTTACTCTATGAAATCCTTAATGTTGACTAATTCCACATCAAAGGTCTATTGACTCGCCCACAGTTTCATTAACTGTCTTTATTTGTGTCTTTGAAGGTGAAGTGCATCATTTCTATGCCACTAGATACATTTTAAAAAATCGCATACGAACTATAAATTTATCACTATATTATGGTGGATATTTTGCCAGGTTTTTTTAGTGACCGACTCTTAAAAGTGTGAATGGACTATAGTCACTATAGCATTGATAATCACTCCAGAGCTGCAGGATAATTATGTTATGACAAAGATGATCGTCCAGTGTCACCAAACCCTTAATTCTCTATAGTGACTATCCATAGGGTTTGTCCATATTTTACCCAAAATTGGGTTAAAACAACCCAGCATTTTTTAGAATGTAAGCATTGAGATATAACCATTGAGGGATAACCATTGAGAAATAACCATTAAGATGCAACCATTGAGATATAACCCCTGAGATATAACCATTGAGATATAACCATTGAGGGATAACCATTGAGATATAACCATTAAGATGCAACCACTGAGATATAACCATTAAGAAATAACAATTGAGGGATAACTATTGATATATAACCATTAAGATGCAACCATTGAGATATAACTACTAGGGATAACTATTGCGATATAACAACCATTGATATATACTGTAACCACTGAGGGATAACCATTAAGATATAACCATTGAGATGCAACCATTGAGATATAACCATTGAGATATAACCATTGAGATATAACCATTGAGATTTCACCATTGAGATATAACCACTGAGGGATGACCACTGAGGGATAACCATTGAGGTATAACCATTGAGATATAACCATTGAGATATAACCATTGAGGTATAACCATTGAGATATAACCATTGAGATATAACCATTGAGATATAACCATTGAGATATAAACACTGAGGGATAACCATTGAGATATAACCATTGAGATTTAACCATTGAGGGATAACGACTGAGGGATGACCACTAAGGGATATAACCATTGAGATATAACCATTGAGGATATAACTATTGAGATATAACCATTGAGATGCAACCATTGAGATATAACCATTGAGATATAACCATTGAGATTTAACCATTGAGATATAACCACTGAGGGATGACCACTGAGGGATAACCATTGAGGTATAACCATTGAGATATAACCATTGAGATATAACCATTGAGGTATAACCATTGAGATATAACCATTGAGATATAACCATTGAGATTTAACCATTGAGATATAACCACTGAGGGATGACCACTGAGGGATAACCATTGAGGTATAACCATTGAGGTATAACCATTGAGATATAACCATTGAGATATAACCATTGAGATATAACCATTGAGATTTAACCATTGAGATATAACCACTGAGGGATGACCACTGAGGGATAACCATTGAGGTATAACCATTGAGATATAACCATTGAGGTATAACCATTGAGATATAACCATTGAGATATAACCATTGAGGTATAACCATTGAGATATAACCATTGAGATATAACCATTGAGATATAAACACTGAGGGATAACCATTGAGATATAACCATTGAGATTTAACCATTGAGGGATAACCACTGAGGGATGACCACTAAGGGATATAACCATTGAGATATAACCATTGAGGATATAACCATTGAGATTTAACCACTGAGGGATCACCACTAAGGGATATAATCATTGAGATATAACCATTGAGATTTAACCATTGAGGGATAACCACTGAGGGATGACCACTGAGGGATGACCACTGAGGGATAACCACTAAGGGATATAACCATTGAGATATAACCATTGAGGGATAACCACTGAGGGATAACCACTAAGGGATATAACTATTGAGATATAACCATTGAGGGATAACCACTGAGGGATGACCACTAAGGGATATAACCATTGAGATATAACCATTGAGGGATAACTTTAGACCTCCTTGGTGGGTGACAGACCTCGAAGCTTTAGACCTCCAAGGTGCCCTAGAATTTGAAAATAATTTTTTCTTGGCATAGTTAAATAACAAGAGTTCAGTACATGGACATGATAAACAGTGAGTCTCAAACACCAGTATTTTTTCCTTCTTATTTAAATCCTGAAAAAAAGGCGAATCTCCACATAATACTGACTGTGACACAAAAGTCGGGATCATTAATATGTACACCTCCAAAAGTTTGCATGTCAGCTCATGTTCAATGCACAGAGTTGCCAACTTACCCCCTTTGTCACTATTTTTAGCGACTTTTCAGATCCCTTTAGCGACATTTTTTCAATAAAGCGACTAGCGACAATTTAGCGACTTTTTGGACAAGCCTCAGTAACCTCCAAATGTTGCCAGTTCTGTCCTGCGAGCGCGAGCTCTAGCTTACTCTGTCGTCACTCTCTCTCTCTCGCTGCGTCTCCCTGTTTAGTGAATAACTGCGAGGAGCGCACAGACGCTGACAGACTCGAATGAACAGTGTTTTTCCACAGACTTATCTTATCCCAGATCACTTATCTGCTTTTCTTTTGTTTTATATTTAAAGAATTTAGCTTATAACTTGTAACACTCAGAGCAGAGATTAGTTCATCCGGTTCCCTAAAAAAAAAGAAAGGAAAGAAAAAATATGATATTAAATAGAGCATTAATTTAGAGAGAAAACGCACTAGGCTGACAGAACGCAAGTACGACACGATGACATCATTGACATGTCAATTGATGTATGACGTCATCTAGCGACATTTAGCTACTTTTTGGGAAGCCCTAAGCTACTTTCCTTTGAAAATAGTTGGAAACAGTGACTCATCTGAAGCTCTGCAAGTGCAGAAACAAGCGAGGATCATGGAGACATGTTCCAGGCTGTACAGGGGAATTTTCATACCCTTCCCACAGAAAAGAAATGTCAACAGGCATGGTTGATGTTTATCTACAATCTGATACAATCTTTATTCGAAGTTGTTTGCTAGCTCTGCCCATTTCACCACAGACTTATTTTCTAGCCTGGGACAATATCAAGCCGGCCTCTCTCAGACTCATCTCATACTCTCTCATACTCGTCTCATACTGAAGAAGGGGAAATTCCAACTATATTCCTGCAAGCAGTAAACAAGTGATTTTATTATCGATAATTTACACTGACTTATCTAGATCCAGCGCAAGATCCTACTACAGTAACCATAGCAAACTCCAAGTTGCGAGCATACATAACTAAATGGTATGACAAAGTATTTACGCTGAGGTTAATATTTCTTGCCTGTGTTGTCATATAATACTGTAGATACATATGTAAATTCCATTTTGTCAAATAATTTTACTTTCGTCTATTTCTTCAACATGTCAGGGACTAACTATGTTAGTTTAGTTGCTCACAGATAATGTTAGCTCACTCGATCCTTCTAGCTAACTTCATTCTCCACCACATAAGTTGAAGCTATTTATTTGTCAAAGCATCTAACGTTAGTCCATTTGTTAAAATGTTTTATTTTTTGAAAATTGGCGTATGATTATTTTTCACGCTTGAATTGCAGGGTGTGTGAAATGAAACAGCCAATCAGAGCAGAACTCTCCATTATCACTGTAAAAAATATTTGTTATCACAACATATTTGTCAAATATAAATATGTCATATTTTGAATATGTCAAATCAACTTTATAATAATTTATTTAGTTGAGATAACTTATTATTTTGAGTTTCTGATGGATAAATTAATCTACTTCATTGTATTAACTCACTTTTTCCAGTTCAATCAACTTAAAATCTTAAGGCAACCCAGGTTACTTACTTTTTTAAGTTAAACCAACAATATTTTTTTACAGTGTAGTAATCACAACATTTTTTCTTTTGTCAAATCAACTTAAATAATTTATTTAGTTTAGATAACATATAATTTTGAGTTTCTGATGGTTAAATTAATCTCCTTCATTGTATTTACTCACTTTTTCCAGTTCAATCAACTTAAACTTTTAAGGCAACCCAGATTACTTACTTTTTTAAGTTAAACCAACAATATTTTTTTTACAGTGTAGTAATCACAACATTTTTTCTTTTGTCAAATCAACTTAAATAATTTATTTAGTTCAGATAACATATATTTTTGAGTTTTTGATGATTAAATCATTTTCCTTCATTGTATTAACTCACTTTTTCCAGTTCAATCAACTTAAACTTTTAAGGCAACCCAGATTACTTACTTTTTTAATTTAAACCAACAATATTTTTTTTACAGTGTAGTAATCACAACATTTTTTCTTTTGTCAAATCAACTTAAATAATTTATTTAGTTCAGATAACATATATTTTTGAGTTTCTGATGGTTAAATTAATCTCCTTCAATTGTATTTACTCACTTTTTCCAGTTCAATCAACTTAAAATTTTAAGGCAACCAGGTTACTTACTTACTTTTTTAAGTTAAACCATCAATATTTTTTACATGACCCTTCCAGATAAGGTAAAAACAGACCGTTTCATTCTAGGGCCAATTTCTAGAGTTGAAAGTGGACCTGTAAAACCATTTTAACATTATAAATGCCCCTAAATAAGCCACATGCCCTCTATGTCAGAGATAAAATTAAAACATTATTTCAACACATACTAGATTTTTAACTATCTACGCACTGGGAAGCCCTGACTCCGTACCAAGGCAGCGTGATGCAATAACATTAACATTTTCTCACATTTCAGATGAAGAAATGTTAATAACAGATCAGCTTTCTCATTACAGGAACACTGAGTCACTCAGTTTCATCATCAGCAGAACATGCAACATCTGGAGACTATACTCAGTTAAATGAGGACTCTTTAAAAAAAGAAAAGTTTTACATATAATTAACAGAATAAAATGTTCTACTTTCTATTGCAACTTGGTGTCAGGTGGTTTAAAAAGGAGGAAATGGCCTATGATATTATGGCCACATTTACATTGCATGATTCAAGTGACCCAATTCAGATTTTTTTTAGATTGGATATCAACAACGACCTTGTAAGCAGGAAAAAAGCACAAGGATTCTGGAAATCTCTGATCGGTTTCAGTCCTCATTCATATGTGGAAATAAATCTGATATGAATCGGACATGGGCATTTGCGCTTGCCATCTAAGCAGACAGATCAGATGTCAAAGAAAGTCGCACGTTATTAAAAAAGCGTCTGACGAATGACATCATCCCATGTGGACACCAACCGCAACCTCTTTCCTCCGCCTTAAGGGACCAATGTTTTGCTGACATTTAAAGATGCTGCGGAAAGCAAAAAGCTTGTATTATCATTTTGTGTCGCTCTTTTTTACTCTTTGAAAGTGACCCATATCCAATATCTATGGAAACTTTATATCTTGTTTATATCTCACAATTCTGACTTCATAACACACAATTGCGACTTTATATTATGCAATTCAGAGATAAAAGGACAGAATTGCTTCCATAGATATCGAATATGGGTAACTTTTAAACATATAGTCAACAAATCGAGATTTGGGCATTAAGACCTGCAGTGTAAATGCGGCGCATATCTTTGAACAGCTCACGAGTGTGAGTGTGATGGTATCGATGTGTGGGATCCACCAAATGAGAGTGGAGAAATAACATGTTCAAACAAACAATGAAACACACCATGAATGCCACAAAGCTGGCACCTCAATCTCAAAGCTACAGTATATATTTGGTTGTATAATAAAAGCCAGTGATGAATGTCCTTTGAGGGTCTAATTGGGGGCATTTAAACAAAGAGTGGTGCAGTGATGGTTTTTTTATTAGGCCAACCTGTAAGTTTGCAACACCCTGGTTCCCTTCTCAAAGACTTCATAGTGTTTTTCCATTAAGCTCTGCGACCAACATAAGTTCATGATTATTAAACAAGGTTTCTGACAACTCTTTCAGTCTTTATTTAAAAAAAAGTCCAGAAAGTTTGAGTTTAAAGTCAGGTTCATCAAGTTCATCAGGTCAGCTTTATTTATATAGCACTTTTTACAATCCAGATGGAAAGATAATGCTTCTTTCTAGAGGAAAATAGCGCCACAATCCAGCTTAAATCAGTTCAGTGACGGTTCATTTTTGTTGGAAGTGCAAAAATGCATCTCGTTTCCTGGCTTTTGTCCTATAAAAGTGTATTTTGTCCTCTGTAAGCGGTTGAAACCAAAAACCTTGCAAAACCAGGCCTTCATAGCAAAGATGACAAGAAAAAAGCTCCAATTTATATTGTACATGCACCTATATGACTTGTTATATTATTGATGTACAGAATTGTCCCAGATGAACATGATGTGTGTTGTTTCTCAGGTGGCGTTTGAGGGATCCACATCATCACCGTGATGGAATCCGATTTGTCACTGCTGTCCTCCTTAAAGGGAGAGTTCAAGGCAGAGGACTTCATACAGCCGCATTACAAGGAAGCGTATCGGTTAGCCATCGACTGCCTAGTCAAAGAGGGAGAAGTTTCTTATCAAAATTTCATCAAAGAGGAAGGCATATGCAGTTTCCTCTCTGAGGAGGAAATCAAGCACATTACACAGAGCGCTGTACAGCCGCCCACGAGCAACCACTCGGAAGAAGCGGACTGTCCGCAGGCCGACACGTCCTCCACCGGCACATACTGGCCCACACACTCAGACACGGACCCGCCGAACCTGGAGTTAGGCTGGCCAGAAGTCCCGCACCGAAGGCTTGAGACCAACATCGACCTGCTCTTCCACCCGCCGAGGCAAAACAGCCCCACTATCAAAGAAGTGATTCGCAAACACATACAGGATGCCAGGCAGGTAATGTTGATATAACAGCATGCTGAAACGGGTGTAAATAAACGCCTCTTCATAACCAGTCCTTCAGATCGTGTGCGTTTCAGCTGCACTCGGAGTTAAGAAACACATAAGCAGGCATCCGGCTCTGTTTCTACACAGTTAAATTAACACTGAAGGTGTCAATTATATAAACTCTGAGCAGAGTGTTGAATGAATACTGAAGCAGTGTTGAAGTTAATGAGATAATTAAGTGATTAATTGAGTGATGATTGAGTATTATTGAAGACACCTGACGGTGTTACCTTTTCTATTTATTCACCTGGCTGTTATAACTCATTTACAGCAGCCAAACTAAATATAAAGTTAACAATTTAACATGCCCTGTTTACACGAGAACGCTCGCTGGTGAAAACGTACAAATGTTTTATCAGATTCACCTTTCGTTTACACGGCGACGGTGTTTTTGAGGCTTAAAAACGCAAAAAAGTGAAACCACCCTACAGAGTGGAAATCTTAAAAACGCTCCACTGCCGCGTTCTCGTGTAAACGGTAGAAACGCAAAAAGTCTGCTTGACAGTGAAGGTTGTACGCAGGCGTGTGGACTTGGTGGTGTTGTAGTATGCACCAACCCGATCTCACGACTAAGTCGTACGAATTCGACGAATGATTAAAAAGTGGCTAATTCGTAACAATTCATACGACCTCACTCGTACGAATTAGTACGATTTTGCTAAATCGTACATATTTTACGAATTGGCCAATTCTTATGAATTCATACGACTGTCCTACCCCTTACCCCGCCTCTAAACCTAACCATCACGTGGGCTTAGACAAATCGTACAAATTTATATGAGTGAGGTCGTACGAATTAGTACGAATTAGACACTTTTTAATCATAAGTCGAATCCGTACGAATTGGGCGTGAGATAGTGTTGTATCCACACACAGCCGCCTGAAGTGCATACTACATTGAATTTCATACACTTTTGCGTCACCATTTGCACGCGGATTTCCCACACAAAACAAAACGGTCCTCTAAACACAGAATAAAAAGTGATGACGCAACGCCAAGTTTGCGTTTTCTCTTCAGAATCGTTTCCGTGTAAACATAGCCTAAAGTGAACACTGATCACTGTAATGGTGACTTAAAATGACGGTTTTCTCCTTCAGTGATTCTGCTTGTTAGGTGTCTTCAATAATGCTCAATTATCACTAAATTATTCACTTAGTTATCTCATTAACTTTAACACTGCTTCAGTGTTCATTTAACACTGGGGATTTTGCTACACTCTTAGAAGAAATGGTTCCATTTAGAACCAGAAATGGTTCCATCCCCCGCTTCATATATGGAACTCCAAAATGGTTCTATATAGAACTTTTATTTTTTTCGGTAAAAGGTTCTATTGGCCAAGTATGGAACTCCAGGGTTCTATTTAGAACCCAGAGGAACCCTTTTTTAAGAGTGTATAGAACCTTTTAGGGGTTCCAAATACGTATCGCTGATAGAACCTTCTAAGAGTGTATGTAAGCTCATTGTCTAAAGCGCACTTAGGTCGGTCCAAATCCACTCTTGCTAGTTAAATGACGGTGAAAAAAATGGTCGGCGCTCCCGGCGCATGATCTAAAAAGGGTCGTCCCTAATCTCTTAATGAGTAATGGGTGTGTTTTGGGCGTGTCAGAGTGTCATCTCCCATTCCCTTTAAAATCCAGTTGGCGGATCTCCTCGAGCGCAAGGTTAAAGCTGTGTGTGTGTGTGTGTGTGTGAGGTTAAAGCAAGCAGACCATCTACGGGACAAGCCGGATTCCGCCATATCTTTATGTACACAATAATATTAATCTTTTACAATTGTAGTCCTTTTATTTTTAATATTTGGCATGTTTGTGTGCTGCTGTGTGTCCCTATGTGTAATAAGCAGTGTGTGTGTAATAAGTAGACTGCACACACGTTGTGGACCCACCTATTTGAGCACATTAAATAAAAAAACAAAACAAAAAATTAGCTCAGTCTATTTTAGTTCCTCAAAATAGCAACGCACCAACAATGCTACTGAACACACACTCATTCCCAGACCAGCAGCTCATGGGCACACAGACAGGCACGTGCATTTGCTATTCAAACAACATGGCGCAGGACGTGAAAATTTCAGCTCTGTCTGGCTGAAACAAGCGTTGCACATATGATAGGGTCCATAGAGTAGAAATGCTCCGCACTTCAGTTGTTACCTTAAGGCCGTTTGTCCACCAAAGCTTTTTTCCACGTGCCTGGCGTACGTTTTCAATTGTTTTCAATGGGAGCGCCGCGTTTTTTAATCGCCATGAGCAGTGTTGGGTAAGTTACTCTAAAAAAGTAATTAATTACTAGTTACTAATTACCTCTTCAACAGTGTAATTAGATTACTGTACGAATTACTCTCTGTAAGAAGTATTTAATTACTTTTAATTACTTTCAAAATCCCATATCAATCTCAACCAGCTGAATAATACAAGGATAGACATGAATCTGTTTTAATTCTTTCAAATAAATACTATAAAATTGCATGAATTATCCTTAAACTGACCAAGGTGGAGAAGGTTACATTATAAAAACACACTTTTTAGCATCAGACAATACATTTTGATGTTAAACCCACTATTGTTTTATGTCTGACCTCATGACATTTCACACTTTTTTCATACATATTTTACAATAATTCATACGAGTTTGTACGAGTGCCATTAGACACCTCATAAAACGCATACGAATCGCTGTGAGATCGGATTGATCTATACACAGTATTTACCTCAATTACATCAGAAGTAACTGTAATTTAATTACAGATAAATGAAGAGTAATCCCTTACTTTACATTTTCAAGGGAAAAGTAATTAAATTACACTAACTAATTACTTAGTAATTAGTTACACCCAACACTGGCCATGAGCGTAACGAGGTGCTGAACGTTTTTTTTGCCGAGAGTTGAAAAAAGTTCAACTTTGGAGAAAACGCAGCGCTCATCACTGTCACTTTTTACCCAGCCGTCCAATCACAGTGGAGGAGGGGCGGGGCTAAACCACACTGACCAACTGTCACAAAATACGACATCAACCAACAGGGCTAACCGAACAAAATGGATGAAAAATACAATTTTAGTATGCAACAAATTATCTGCGAAATCAGTTACAAGTAAACTGTGCTGCGGGTATTTTGTATCATAGCAACGAAACGTCTCAACGGAAAAAAAACGCTGGGCTACCAAAACGCTCTCAAGCGCCCAAAGCACGGCGTCTTCAGCAGAGCGTCTGGCGTTTTCAGCTGGATAAAACCGCTTTGGTGGACACACGGGTGCCGTCCTCTAAAGCATCGCGAGCTAAGTTGATCATAGAGATCATTGTTGCCAATGGTTGAACGATCTACTGAGGCTTGCGATGCTTTTGAGGGTGGTCTGGGACAGGGGTGTGTTTCCCAAAAGTATCGCAAGTTCTGTCGCTATCAGCATAGCTCAACGAGTCGGTGTTTCCCAAAACTATAGATTCAACGAACTTTCGCAAACAACATCGCACAGTCGTGTGTTCGGAGTGACAGCTCTCGATCTGTGGTTAGAAGCAGAGTTTCTTGTTGTTATGAAATGTGGAGTCAATAATAAGCCAAATAAGCAAACTAACATTCAGAAAAATCGGCATCTTTTATTTAGAATAAACAAATAAAATGCCAACGGTTGCGAGGAACAGTCGTGACTAGTTGATTTCTTCAGCTAAGCATCGGCAGCGAGTTACGCTGTTGAATTGGACACACAGCCCTGTTTGGTAATTGAAAGGTTGTGGGTTCAAGGCCCACAAGAGCTGATCCATGCCCGTAACAAAGCACTTAACCTCAGGTTGCTCCAGGGACACGGTTTCAGACGCTGTAAGATATACACCACTATCAAAGATGGGGCAGCGTGTTGATAAGGTCACTCTTCTGACAAATCGTTTCACTGTCACCCTGTTGAGTGTGTGATAAATACATGAACAGATCTTTCGAAGGCTATATAGAGTGCACAGTCAGATGTTGGATGTGTCATATGTTTTTTTTTTTATAGAGAAATAGATTTGTAGAATTATTGTTTGGACGATATTTTTTTGAAATAAAATAGTTTCTAGAAAGACCTACCATGAGCTCTAAGGCTTAAGCGATGAAATATACATCTGTAGAAGCCACAAGCCAGTGTTTATTTAGCAAAATAAAGTCTAGTGAAGAACTACACTACCCACAATCCTGAAGCAAAAACTGATGTCAAAGAACATATATATTTTTTAATTTGAATAGCATTTTACAGTATACCAATAATCAATGACTTAAGTGTAATTTTCTGTTACAATATAGGTTGGTATATGTAAATGAAGAATGTTTACTTATCCCCCATGTTATCTGGGCCGAGAAATTCATGTTTATTTGTCAGAAAATCTTTTGACAGCTCCAGGGCTTTCATGAAAACTTCAGTTTTGCTTGATTTTCTTTATGGGAAAAATAAATGGTGAAAATGACCCAATGTAGCTAGCAAAGGGGGACGCCACTAAATAAAAAAGCGAAACGTTTTAATTGTTTAACCATTAGGCTGGTCATACCAATTCACGTAATATGTTAGTTTAAATAGTTATAAAAAAAGTTCTCATCTAGATAGTGAGTTTTTTTTTTTTTTTTTTTTTGCGGCTTGCTGTTTTTCTTCAGGGCCTAATAGCAACAGATCAAGGCAACATGAGCAAATCTCTTTTAACTGTAGAGATACAATGCACGTCTTTGATCTACACAGGAATCACCCATCATATAGACATGCTTCTTTAGCATAGCAGACAGCTTCTGCCTTGAAAGTAAAGTGAAATCTTTCCCTAAAGATAAATATTGGTATGCAGCATGAAAACATCAGGCTCTCAGAGTACTCTGTGGCTGAAATAAAATCAATTATAGCATACGTTGTTTTCTAAATTAAAAGAAAAAAATAATAACTCACCTTTAGGTCAATGTGCCATTATTTTTATGAAAATTAAGCATATTTATATAATGCT